ACAGAGCGGAGGGAGAATGTGAATACGCAAAGCAGTGGACACTGAAACATGCACACATTGGATAAATAACATAGGCGTTTAGTTTATTTAATAAAAGAGCACATGTTCAATGTGAAAAGTGACCGTAGATAGATTACTTCAGTTGCAATTTGGTGCTATATATATATTTTATTTTAATAAAAAATGTTTTAAAAAAACAAAAAAACACCTTGAATTTCAGGAGGGGCGCGGTGCTCTGTTGGCAGGGCGCAGCGCCCCGCCAAGACAATGGTAGGGGAAACACTGCCTACGCTGTACATATCCGGCATGAATCCTGAAAGGTTTTGGGAAGCTTTGTTACGTGAAAGGCTGGCAGAGGGTGTGGCCATAGCTCTGGGCGTGGCTACTGGCCATTCCTACGTCACGATACCCAGGAAGTAAACAATGGAAAATGAGAAATCTCCAACGAGGCGTTTTGGGGAGGTATTTCCTCGCTACAGGGTGTATTTTGAGGGTTTTTGACTCTGCAGACCGTTTACATGCATAAAAACCTTCATAACACACAAGGGGACGGGTAATAACCGGAAAAGCATGACATGGGACCTTTAAGATCCAGACGTCCGTGACTAAAATCCTTCATCCGGTTAAATATAGTTAAAAAAATACCAATTGTATAGCATTAAAGTTCAAGAAAGGATGGTTTGCGGGAAAAAAACGGTATTTTCTTCAATTCCTGTATGTTTTCATATCGCAATATATATCGCAGGGGGGGAAAAAATCGCAATGTCAATTTTTTCCAATATCGTGCAGCCCTAATAAGTCAGGGTTGCCAACTCTCACGCATCTGGCGTGTGACACACGCTTTCACTCTCAATCTCACGCTCTCACGCTGCCCAAACTATTCTCACGCCAAAAACAAGAATACGAAGACTAGAAACGGTTTTGAAAACTTTTGTCACGTAGTGATCGTCTTCTCAATAGAACATCTTTGATAATGTCTTCTGGCCAATCAGAATCACGATAACGGCGTGGTGTTGTTGCAGGAAGTCCCGACGGAGAATACTTTTGCGGTAGTACATCGATACAACATTACGTGTTGATAGAAATCAACACGTAATGAAATAAGACCCCACGGTTTGATGATTGATCGGTGTGTGTGGGCTGTCTTTCATTTTGACACACAGAACAATGGGGGCTATCCACCCTTATCCACAATGTAAAGTAATTCACACAGCCTCTTCCCTCTTCTCTCTGTGAGGAGCTGCAGCAGGTTCAGCTTTCAGAATAAAGTAACAAAAAACTAATATGGCATTCATTTTTTTAAATGTGTAGTAATAGATTTATTTATTTTTCTTCTCAAGAGAGTACCAGAATGTGTATTTTATGTTAGTATTTTAAAAAATCTCCTGGGGGAGAATCCCCCCAGACCCCCCTGCAAGGGTTGGGTTTTCAGCATGTCAACTCTTTCACCTGTGGGGAAATTGCAGGATTGGCTCCAGGTCGCCCTTTTTATTTACTACAAGACAAATGTGCCTTTTTATTTCATACAGTTCAATTTGGATTGAGACAGGGAAATAATCTAAACCTCACGCGTGGCGTTTCACTGTCGGGGGGAGCGTGTATGTAATTACATTGCAAATACTGACTTGAGCCCCACCACTGTATGGGTTAGCCCTACCATAGATTACCCAACAAAAATACTCTGGAGCCGCAACTGCCGACCCGTATTGCGCATGCGCAGATCTAAGATCCAGTAGAAATGGTAAAAAAGTAAAAGTCTGCTGCTTATTGTTCTACTAGGCCAAAATAGAGTCAAAGAGTATATGAGAGTGAGAGTGTGTTAATTAATATATTTGGCAGTTTGGAGTAAGTCTGTAGATTTGTTTGTGTGTGTGTGTTTCATGTATAGGCCTCTCACGATAATTAATTTTGTTGGATACATTTTCCCGGAAATTATTGCGATAAAAGCATCGTCGGCACCGTTGTATGACCATTTTAGACCACTGACATAATGATAATATATAATAATAATTCAAGTACATCCTTTCAAACTGCTAGTCACATCCTCATGTAAATGGCAATTTATCGAGGTCAGAAAAGTTATCGAGTTCATTTTTATTTATCGTACGATAAGTCAATTAATTGCTTATCGCGACAGGCACACAATAAAACAGTGGAAACAAACATGTTTGACTTTCATTAGTGAATGAAACTGTGTGCCCTTTATAATCTGTGTCCATTATTGTGTATTTGTATATATTGTATATATATCCTATATATATGCTAAGGTCCCGCTGCTGACACGATAGCAGTCATTTCGTGCGCATATGTGTAATTAAACCGAATTAAACCCATGATATCAAAATCTCACTCCAGCCAGGTACCCAAAGTTGGCAACCCTGAATAAGTATACATGACAAGTATACAGAAACACAACATAAATGACCATGCTATGGTAATGATAGGCTAGTTAGACAGCTTAGAAGGCTAACAAACTAATCTCTTTTATAAGTGAAGAGAAAACAAGAGTTTAGCAAAATGCTAACAGTGCTAAGCTAACAACGAGCTAATATGCTAACGATGCTAAGCTAATGACGAGCTAATATGCTAACGGGTGGCTATTATTACATTGTCATTGACATGAGGCGTTAGCTTAGGCCTAGTGATGCAGATGCAGTTTAACATCACATAATAAAGGTATGAAATACACAATCAAATGATGGAATAAACACTGTTCTACATTAATATAGTTTCAACTAACATATTTACTTACAGACAATGCGCTTAACAAGTCTCCAGAAGATGGATGCAACCAGATTGTGGAGCTAACAAAACGGGACTGCCACATGTAATTTCCCAACTGACTGACACAACTTCCTGGATGACTATTTCCTGTGATAAATAAAGCTAAGCTATTATCACTCGCCACAAACATACAGATCAAGGTTGTGTACTTAGTCCCATGCTCTTCACACTCTTTACCAACGACTGCACCCCCATCCACACCTCCAACTCCATAGTCAAATTTGCAGACGACACCACAGTAGTCGGTCTTATTACAGACAATAATGAGACAGCCTACAGGCTCGAGGTGGAACATCTGACTGGTGTAAGGAGCACAACCTTGTCCTTAACACCTCCAAAACTAAGGAGCTCATTGTTGATTTCAGGAGGACAAAAAAGGAAGTCCATCTCCCCCTCCACATCCATGGAGAAGCAGTGGAGAGCGTGGAAGACCTACGGTTCCTTGGAGTCAACATCTCCAATAAATTAACATGGACCTCAAACACCTCAAACCTGGTGAAAAAGGCACAGCAGAGACTGTTTTTCCTGAGGAAACTGAGACAGGCCAGGCTTCCACAAAAACTGCTGGTAAACTTCTATCGGTCGACTATTGAAAGCACCCTGACCAGCTGCATAACTGTGTGGTACACCAGCTGCACAGCCGCAGAGCGGAAGGACCTGCAACGGGTGGTGAAGGCTGCTCAGCGCATCGTTGGGACTGAGCTGCCCAACCTTGACAACATCTACAGGAGTCGACTGCAGAAGAAAGCCAGCAGTATCATCAGAGACATCACACACCCCGGCCACTCACTGTTCGAACCGCTGCCGTTCGGCAGACGGTTCAGGTCAATAAAGTCACGCACCAACAGACTGAAGAACAGCTTCTTTCCCAGAGCTGTGGCCTCCATCACTCCCATCACTGTCCAACCACAAAACTCACTATAACTTTGAACATGCACACATAAAAACACACTACCTCCCATCAAAGACTGCAGCCAAAAATGCCATATGTTATTTATGTATTTGTATATTTATTAAGTATCAAACAGATATCTTTGGTAACTATTTATATTTAAACATTGTAGCTTTTCTTTATTAAATCATCTTTAAAAATGTATTTTAACATTCTGGTAAAGTGCATTTAAGTGATGACCCTGATTATTGCTACTATCTCTGCTTTATCACTGCCTTTATGGATGTGTTCTTATTTATGTACTGCAGTGAGAGATGCCAACTGAATTTCGTTACACTGATGTGTGATGACAATAAAGATATTCTATTCTATTTTATTCATCTATACACAGAACACAACATTTATTGTGTTTTACATTTGTCTGGTCTTTTAAGGAGAGTCCCTTTAAAAAAAAATTTGTTCTTAAGGCCATAAAATGCCACCTTCACAAAAACTGCTATAAAATTATGATATATTAATATTTATTTCCACTTTAAAAGAGTAAATCTTTTAGAACTACTCCAGCCTGACATACACATATGAAATATGAATTATATTTTGGGGATTTTAACCCTTTAAATGCCAGTTTGTTGAAAAAACTCCACAGTTTTTTTATTGAAAAAAACTAGAATCATTTTCAAAAAATACATTTCAAGGAATATTTGATTATTGTTATTATTAGGTCCCTAGATTGGTCAATGATTGGCAGCAACATTGATTTGAATGCATTGTTATTTTTTTTGCAGTGTCAGGTTTAAACAAAAACTCACTCGTGTTCCTAAGGCCAGAAATTGCCACCTTCACAAAAACTGCTATAAAAATATGATATATTCATATTCTTTCCCACTTTCAAAGAGTCAGTCTTTTAAAATTACTCCAGCCTGACATACACATATGAAATATGAATTATATTTTGGGGATTTTAACCCTTTAAATGCCAATTTGCTGAAAAAACTCCACAGTTTTTTTATTGAAAAGAACAAAAAACTAAAATAATTTTCAAAAAATACATTTCAAGGAATATTTGATTATTGTTATTATTAGGTCCCTAGATTGGTCAATGATTGGCAGCAACATTAATTTGAATGCATTGTTATTTTTTTTGCAGTGTTAGATTTAAACAAAAACTCACACTCGTGTTCCTAAGGCCAGAAAATGCCACCCTCACAAAAACTGCCATAAAAATATGATATATTCCTATTTTTTTCCTAAATCTTTTAAAACTACTCCAGCCTGACTAAAATGAATAATACAAGACCATTTTGAACCAGAAAAACATTTATTTTACAAAGATGAACATTGAATGAACACTGTGTGTCTGGCTGTGAGAGTTCAGCTCAGGTCGAGCAGGGGCTGCAAATGGACAGACTGTGGTCCTTGCATATGAATTTCCCACATTTGCAGCAGGTGCTGCAAACTCTTCTGTCCATGCAAAAGTTGCACTGCCTCCTGCTCTTCCATTCACTGATGAGAGAGGGGCCTGCAGCAGCACCCTGCAGATCTGACACCATTGTTGCAGCGGCTGATGAGCGGGGAAGGCGCCCTCTCTTCTTGATGTGTGGGGTCACCAGCATTTCTCCCACCTCTTCAATGAAGAGCCTCCTCCTGTACGGTTTCTGCTGCTGCCAGGATGGCTCGATTGATGTCCACAGGACGTAGGCGTTGTAATGGGAAATGTCAACCAGGTTGTGGAAGGGGGCAAGTGGCCAGCGATTTGTTCTCCTCCTGCAGGAGTAGGTGGAAACAACCTAACAAAAACATAAAACAAGACAATTTGAATACATGATTCCAAGCATTTTCTCATGATGCAAATATTAATTATTTCATAGGAAAATGCTCATTTGAAAAAAACCTACATATATTTCAGACAAGAATATAAGAAGAATACATGTGTGCGTAACTGATGCCTAATGGCACCTAACTTATCAAGGTTGTCGACACCTCCTTTGCATCGGTTGTAGTCTTTGATTATGACTGGCTTTCTCTTCATTTCGTCGCTTACGTCTGGACTGCGGTGTTTCGTGCTTAGAAGCAGCACATTCCTGCCCCGTCGAGGGATGTAAGAGACCAGTGTGTGGGTCTTCGTAAAGGCAAAGGTGGAGGAGAGGACCGCTCTCGCTCTTGCCTGGAGCAAAATAGGGGGAAGCTCAGGCTTGTTTCGGCGAATTGTGCCAACCAGGGCCAGTTTTCTCCTGAGCAGCTCCTTAGCCAGGGCGAAGGACGTGAAAAAATTGTCACAGTTAATGATGTGTCCCTGGAGCCCCTCTGTCATCTCCAGGACCACCCTCATCCCCTGGTTAACTTCAGGACGACTGCCAGCTGCTTTGCCTGTATACACCTGCAGTCTCCAGGCGTAGGATGATTTTACATCACAGTTTGCCCAAATCTTTATACCGTATTTGGCCGGCTTTTTTGGCATGTACTGCTTGAAGCTGCACCTGCCTCTGAATGGGACGAGCTGTTCATCCACGCAGACGTCGCTGAATGGGCTGAACAGCATCGGCAGGCGGTGCGTCCACATATCCCAGACTTTGCGGAAGGCAGCCAGCTTGTCATCACGGCGCCGCGGTCGGGATAGCTTGTCGTCGAACCGCAGTGTTCGGCTGATTTGGTGAAACCTCTTGTGGGACATCGTGGCTCGGAAAATGCTCCGTCCCGATTTCTCACTCCAGAGGCTGAGGGTCGATTCATTTTTTGACCTGTAAACACCGGCCAAAATGAGCAGCCCCACGTAAGCCTGCAGTTCCTCTGTGTCCATATCTCGCCACTCTGCAATTGACCGTCTCCCATGCAGGTTTGTCATGGACACAATATGCTGCAGGATGTCATCTGTCAGCAGCAGTACAAAGCTGGATGCCGGGTCACTGATTCGGGCGACAGCATAGTGTGTTGGTCCCGGGATCAAACTTCTGGCTGCTGGGACGTAGCGGAGTGTCTCAGTGTTTGTGGGAGACCAAAACACTTTACATTTTTGTAAAGTCCATCCTGCAGCTGCTTCCTCCAATTCCCCTCCGCTCTCAGTTTCAGATGAGTCTGAGTTGGACTCTAGCTGGTCTGTTCCCACCTCTGAGGCGTCCTCCGTGGACTCTGAGGCCTCTTCTGTGTCAGCCTCAGAGTCCACGGAGGAGGATGAGGAGCCATCCTCGCAATCAGAGTGCATGATGATGTCCAGAGCTTCCTGTGTGCTGTAATGCCTTGCCATCTCCAAAAAGACTACTCCTGCACTAATAGTAATACTTATAACCAGTGCACCTGTATAAACAACCTGAGCGAGAACCAAAACAAAGTCCAATTTTGTTTTGGTTCTCGCAACTCATTGTTTTTATTATTGAATTAGATTATTACGCAGTGTGGCCTTCTAAGAGAAAAGTATTTTGAAGTTGGACACACACACACACGCACACAAACACACACAAACACGCACACACACACACACACACAAACACGCACACACATCCAACATCAAAAGCGACACACACATATCATTTCAGTAGCAAGTGACCCTTGCAGAAAACAGTAAAAAGGGTGACATTTTGCTGCAGGCTTCAAAGGGTTAAAATTATCGCCATCTTGTAGACAAATGTAAAAATTGAAAATTGAAAGCTAGAAGTCCAAAATGAAATCTTAACATAAAGGAAATCAAGAGTTTATGATAAGATAAATGTGGGGTGAAAAAAAGCATTTTCAATGGTTTTCAATGGGGCATTTTTTGCCGCTAGGAACAAATGTGTCGGTTTTTGTGTAGCTTAGCCATTTTAGGCTAATTTAAAAAACTGAGACGACAATTCAATATACAACTAAAAAAGAATATCCTCTGGCAAGTTTGAGCAATATTCATTCAACACAGCCAAAATGGCATGAACATGAAAACCCGAATGGCTGAAAAATGGCCCCAGGGACTCTTAAGGCTTAAGGAGCTGCTGACCTGTTTCTTCCCCAGGATGGAAATGCCACTGAATACCACTCCTAAAAAGATTACACCATGCATCTTAAAAATTGATTCTGGGTCACATTGGTCACAGCTGTAGGAGGCATAAACAGCTCACCATGTGCTACACAGAGTTAGCTTAAAGGGCCCATGTCATGCTTTTCCGGTTATTACCCGTCCCCTTGTGTGTTATGAAGGTTTTTATGCATGTAAACGGTCTGCAGAGTCAAAAACCCTCAAAGTACACCTTGTAGCGAGTAAAACTCTAACACAGTCTATGCTGCCCCAAAACGCCTCGTTGGAGATTTCTCATTTTCCATTGTTTACTTCCTGGGTACTCTGACGTGGGAATACCCAGAGGCCACACCCTCTGCCAGCATTTCACGAAACAAAGCTTCACAAACCTTTCAGCGATTCATGCCGGATATGTACAGCGTAGGGCACTGAAGAACGATGCTGTTCCTACTTTGTTTGGACCAGCGGGAGATTCGGGTACACAACCTGTAAGTATTCATTGTTTGTGTATTTATGATGTTTAAAACAAACAAGGTATCTACCACGACTGTTTAAATGGGTAAACGTTTTTCGGGCTGCTAAGGATCGCGGAGAAATGCTCTCCGCAGACCCATTCTCACAGCGTTATAAACCTTTTTCTTACTCAATATCAAGCCACACATATTGTTTTTACTTCGGCTGTGAGTGTTTGTGTGTGCTCAGGATGAGTTTAGCTTGTTCTCGCTGTATCGCCGACCCGGAAGCCTGTCCGCTCCTCGCAGCAGATCGCAGCAACGAGTCTCTCAACGTCCCGACCAATCAGAGCACACTGGGCTCACAAGGAGGGGGGGGGCAGGAGCTCTAACAAGCCGTTTAGGACAGAGAGTGAATACCGGTGAATACACATACTATACAGAGATGCTGTATGAGAAACCAATGTGAGTTTGGAAAATTGCACAATTTAAATCTATTCTAGTATACCTCAACAATGGAATTATGATCAGTAGAAATGGCCATGACATGGGCCCTTTAAGATTTAAATTGTGTTATATTTTTGAGGGATGACAGATTCATAAAAGGCCTATTTTTGTATACAAGATACTTATATTATCAGGCAAGTCTTCTTGGTGCATCTCATATTCTGATATTTTAGTGAAAACTATTTTAGATTGAAATATTTGTAATTTTTCAATTGTCATGCAAATAAATAAAATACATGTAAATGGTCTGCAAAGGCTAACACCTTTACATCTCCCTCCAGAAGGAGTTTCTCTCCTTCCCACCCCCCCTGCCTGAAACGCCTCAATATGACTACTTGTTTACAGGAACATAGTGACATCACTATAATACTCGCCCTTCTATTGGCCAGAGCTCCAACACATTGTAGGTGATAGGATAAGGGGCGGGATATCTCTAAGCGGTCGACCAATCACATCAGAACCGGCCAGCTAACCAATCAGAGCAGACTGGGCTCTGGTTTCACACAGAGGGTGAAAAGAGGTGCTGCAGCACAGGCAGTATGAGAAAAATAAAGAGCTTTTTGAACATTAAAGCATGGAGACATGTCACAGTAGAGACACTAACTAGTAATATGAACCTTTAACACAAAGGGGAGTATAAGCTAAATCAGATAAATAAGGAAATCATTATGCTATCAGTCAAATACACACTTCATAGTGGCATTATGCAACTAGCCTATAGAAGACAACATTCTTTATATGCCCATACATTTTGCAATAATCTTAAAGCTATAACGTGTAGGGTCTAAAATAAGTTGAATTTTACGGAGGTGTTTCGGTATCATCCCCCGATAATAAATCACTGTCGTAAAAAGGTGAGCTTTTGGTTATAACAGCTGTTATATATAGAGTCAGATCTATAGTGGAGGTGAGCAGTGAAGCATAGAGGGCGAAAGACAATGTTCCCTCAGAGAGTTATGTCCTTTTTCTCCTCTCAAGAACTCCTGTGAGCACTCCCTTTTCTCTTCTTTGCTTGCATTCTAAATACGCTCATCCTTGCATGCTGCACAGTTCCATTCTTACTTCTTTATAGCTATGTCCTTGCTTTCTTCCTCACACACCTACAGGAACACACTGTCATCTTGTATAACACAGTGTGAATGTGTCCACCCCCATGAGGACAGGTTGTAAGTATAGCATTCCCTCTGATGTGCGGGGTAACAATAGAAAGGACACGCACAAATGAGCTAATTTAAACACATGCAAATAGACACACCAGACACGTTCAAGTATTGTACAGTTTGTCCTTCATGTCATTCATTAGCGGTGCGGCTCTGGGAGTGAACAGGACCGAGTGAGGAGTGAAGAAGGTGACTTTGTGCTGGCAGCATCCCAAACTGCTGTCCAGGCTGCTGGTCAGCACTGTTACCGGGGGATACTTGCAGAGTTGCAGGAATGTGCAGCGCTCTTGTTCCAAAGTGTGTGATTTGTAGCACTTAGTCCACGAGAGCCCGGCCTCGATTTGTCAAGGCCGTTGACATGCATCATGAACAGTTTTTTTTTATGCTCTGCCATCTCACTGATAGGTTTCATGTTCAGATCTCAGCGTGCTTCCTATAAAGTCTGGCGCATCCAACCAGTTTAATATTATATGAAATAGAGAAAAGTCGAAAATTGTCATATTTGAGAAGCTGAAAACAGCATTTTCTACCAACTGTGCACAAAAATTAAATATTAACCAATCAGTTGCCGATTATTTTTCATCATCGCTGCAGATCCAGTTAAAAAATCCAAGGTCTTCTGAAAATGTTGCATAGAACTGAAAATGAATAAGTAAATTATCAAAACATTTGCTTATTTTTCGTCACTTCAAAAATGTACAAATGATTCTTTCTTACCCTACTAACCCTAACCCTAACCACCCCCCCCCCCTGGCCAGCCCTTGGTGGGAACTGAAGCACATCTTTGACTTTATTTAACCTATATAATATATTTCCCAAATCTCAGCAATTTCAGTCAGATTACACAGTTGTTATAACCAAAGAGGAGATGTGGAAGAGAATATTCATCAGAAGACAATATGATGAAAAACAGTGTGACTGCTTGAGTTAATTTCCCTTTAAAATGGATTACAGCTTCTGTTTCCATGCAGCTTTTTCCGCTTGTAGATGGCAAACAAAAAAAACACACACTGGGATCCATGGTTCGGTATGCATCATTTATTTCTCACTGACATTTTTGGTGTACAAAAACATATTTTAAAGCCTGGGACCTCCTCTGTCACACTGACATGCAGATGCACAACAAAAGCAATGGTTCACAGCAGCGTTTAGGCTGCTTTAGACTGATGATTTAAAGTGTCTAGAAAACCTGCCTTAACATCATCGAAACTGAGTAGATGAATGCTTTGTGCCAAGACAACAAAAAAATAAAGGTTTCCAAAACAGCCGTAAAACATAATTGTAGGCCTGTGGAACTGTAACATAGACACTGGTTGCTTATTAACACGAAATCGCTGTGTGGGAAGGGAGTTATTTCAGACGTACTTGCATTCCCATAAGAACTGTTTGTACGTCGTTATAAATCTGAACATACAGCAGGACAACCTATAAACAGACAATTTGTTGAAATGTTATTACCACTGATTTTCAAAAGAAAAAGTACACATAGGAGCAATGACAACTATCCTATCTTTATGTACAGTAGTGTTCTTTTGAAGAAGTAGATATCGATCTAGTTTGGGGATTCCGTCTGCCAAAAAAATGTGATATTTGTGTTTTTTGTGAAAATATGCTGCCAATTTAAAAAGGGAAAATCTCTCAGGTCAGTGTTGTGAAATCCTGGAAATACGCGCATCACAGGAAAATATTTGAAGATCCCTTTTTTCCAGGCTCTAGCTCTTACTCAACATCAAGTGAATCAGATAGTACATTAAATGTATGGCAGCTAATACAGCTTCACTTAAAAAAGGAAAGGCATACTTGCAGTAAAAAATAAATAAAACTAGTGTTAAATAAAACACTACCATGTAGACTGCTGCCACAGTTCTTACCACTGGAAATACAGTTAGGGTTAGGGTTAGTTTTATATGGATATCAACAAAAGTATGTCTTAATTTGTACATTACACTTTTGACATGTCAATGTATTTTCCAAAAAGGCAGACTCCCAGTAGCCAGGATTGTAGCTTCAATCCAGAAAGAATACACAAAAACTGAAGTTATGAAACTTTTTATTTAATTAGTTTAATTTATGTGATACATTCTTTTGTATAAAAGTATATTTAGGAAGTTTGGGAACTAATCGATATCCGGTGAACTGTGGCTGCTGTCTCGGAGGTTGGAAGAGGTTGTTTTCTGCGCTTCAGTGCTTTCAACGTAATGGAGTTTAAAAAACTGATACATTTGACTTTCAAATTGAGCTGAATGCAGGCGTTGGTTTTTGACTTTTTTTCAGTGTGATTATTTTGCTGCCTATGGTAAAAAAAGAAGAAAAAAACATTGCTCACATTACATTAGAGACACATCTACTCTAAGCCTTTTTGCTGTCACAGTTAACAAGCTGAGGTACTTTATAGGCTTCAATATTTATTCAAAACGGTTAAGACATTTCCAACAAGCATTAAAAAACGATTTATCGAACAGTAATATACAATCTTTGATTACTTTCTGTTCTTTTTCCATATTCCACAGTGGTGCATCAGGGTGTCAGGCCCCAATCTTCTTAATGTGCCCTTTGTCAAGGTTGGTTGTCCATGCAGTCTCACTTCAGAGGTGTCTCTTCTCAGCCCACTAAAAATACTCATCCATGCAGAATGTGGTCTTTTTGAATAATTCCACTTAAATATTCAAGCACATCTTCCTATGGCATTGTAAATAACTGCTGGCCCAGCTGTTCTGTTGATCTGTTGGTACAATACTTTGCTCCACACTGACATATCTACATCTACTGGATGGATTTGGTACAGACATTTTTGGTCTAAATCCTGAGGACTTATGTGATCCCCTGACTTTTCATTTAGCGCCACCAGAAGGTCACTTCAACTCTGGTCAAACACTACTTCAGAATATCCTTTAAAGCTTATGACTGACTCCTTGTCAGCCTCAGTTGCACTCTGGGATTGATGATGATACAGCATGCTAACATGCTAACATTAGCATGAACTGTGAACCAAATCACCAACAAAGAACTGAGCCTGACAAGCTGTCAATGTCAGAAGTGCTAAAAATGTTGCGGCACAAAAGATAGTCATGTTTGAAATGTGGAAACATTTATTGGAATTGGAATTGGAATTTAGAATTGGAATTTAGAATTGGAATTTAGAATTGGAATTTAGAATTGGAATTGAAACCCAAAATTGGAATTGGAGTTCAGAACTGGAATTGGAACCTGGAATTGGAATGTGTAATTTTTGGATTCACATCATTGAGGCATTTTACTGCCTCACCATGTCCAAGTGCCAACCTAAGACCAAACTAAAACAACATTGCTTTCAGATGTGTGAGCATTTCAATCTAGCACAGGCTGCTACCGTGACAACAGACAATATGTCTTGTTTATTTCAGGAATCTCATTACACTTCTGGCTTGTCAATGCCATTTAATGGAAATGTTGAGGCAAATCACACACAGCCTCAGAAAATGCTTCTCATCTCAGGCCAGAAGACATTGGACCCTCTCAGGGCTTTCTCCATCCCCTGAGATACAGAGTTTGGACCTCTGACAGCAGGCTTCAGGTTTAAGTCTTCCTAACACTGAGGATAGTCATCTGTAGACACTCCTCCTTCAGAGCCACCAGTTCGGTCTTGTAGCTGCTGGTCTTTGCTCCATCAGCGTATACACAAGGCTGCTTCTTTGCTGCCAGCGGCGTTTCCATAGTCACTGAACCAGCGTTGAGTATGTCCCCGTGCGATGGTGAGGAAGAGGAGCCCTTGAAGCAAGCTGCAGAAAGTAAAGCTGAGAGCGCTCGGGCGACATCGTGCCGGGCCCCCTCGTTGACAAAACAGTACAAAATGGGATCGGCGACGCAGTTGAGGCTGGTCAGTGCCAACGACACATGGTAGGCTGCAAACAGGCTCTCCTCTGCGCCGCAGTCACATGGCTTATTTAGAAACATCACACTCCGCACCAGGAGCAGGATGTGATACGGTCCAAAGCAGAGCAAAACAATCAGTATCAGACTCAAAGCCAGACGCTGAATTTTGGCCTTTTCCTGACGCTCTGTTGAGACGTTGCAGCGCACTGCTGCTAAAATCCCACGGTAGGCCACAAGCATGGCTGTCCATGGAGCGAGGAAGCCCAGAAATGTCCTGTAGAGGTTCATCCCTGCCACCCAGTCCTGCATGGGATACTTCTCAAAGCAGAACGTGTGGTTGAACCGGTCCTGGAAGAGCTCATCGTGGAAGAGAGGAGCAGAGTTTGCTACGATCTCAATAATCCACACCATGGCGCTGACCATGACCGCTGTGGGAGGTTGGGAGAAGAAAGGAAAGAAGAGGAGTGATAAATAATCAACTTTTCAGAAACCTCTGTGTAAATATTGTACTGTATTGGAGGAAAAAAGACACACAAACACAGCTAATAGGGAATCTACGTCTTTTCAATCTGCGACGGACACTTGTACACCAAGTACCAACCTTAGTAATCATTCATTTCACCAAACAGTAGGCCTTCATTTTGTCTGTTTTCAATAATATTGTCATCAATGAGAATATAGTTATATTATAAAATTGTATTTTACTGCCTCACTTTCACCCATATGAAGAGTTTTCATCCAAAATGCATTTCCAATTGGGATCTAATATATGCTCTCAATAACATCATTTTTTGTTTCTAGAAAAGTTAGAGTGGGGCCATGACCATGTTCTTGGCTTAAGCCACGCATCATTACGTTTTAATAAAAGTAATTACTTTAGTAGACATTGTTCAAATAGTTATTTATAAACTTATTTTGCAATGGAAGTGATCTTATCTCTACACAAACTTGAATTTCCTGTTATGTCAAGGAATCTCAAGTTTGAAGACGCACATCCTCTCAGGGCTCAGCGGCCGCACAGTTTCGGGAACTAATGGTCACATGACCTATCTTTATCCTGCCAAAACAGAAAATGAAATTGTACTGACTTTTGTGTTATTGAAAAGTTAGTTGCCTCTCTACCAATAAGTATTTTATTTCAGATGTATCTATCAGCATTTGTTTTAGGATGGCTTTAATATTTAAGGAAAAAACCCAACATACCTGTTTTGATTCGTCGGACCTTTGCAAAGCGCAGAGGATATGCCACAGCCAGGTATCTGTCCAGTGAGATACAGCAGAGGAAGGCGATGCTGACGTAGATGTTAGTGTAGAAGATGAAGCCGAACAATTTGCAGCTCTCCTGACCGTGGATCCAGTCATCGTGCTGCAGGAAGTAGTCGATCCACAGAGGAAGAGTGATGATGTAGAGGAGGTCAGCCACTGACAGGTTGATCAGGTAGATGCCAAGCTCATTGCGTTGCTTTACCTGGATGGAGGAATGTGAAGAAGATGAGATGGGAAAGGGATGAAGATTTCAAGTTTATGGATAATATCATGTACAATGATAGAGAGGGTCAAGAGTGTTTTGTTCAACTTCTGTGCTTTTGCATAAAAGGTAGTCAGTGAGAAGATTTTGAGGCAAGACATGTTTCCATTTTTGCAAAACTAAATAAAATGCAAATGATGAGTGTATTGTAATCATCTGCAAATCATTTGACTTCCTGAATGTCAAAACATAATAAAAAATGCAGTCTTCAAAGAACTGATATGGCTGAATCTATTATTGTTGAAGAGCACTTGGTAGAAACTGTGCATTAGGGACGTACAACCACAACGAGGGCTTGTACAGTAAATCATCTATTACGTTTCCTAATTGTATTTATCCGTACTTGGATTGGAATCAAGCCACTGTGAGATAACTCTGTTTCCCATGCAGTATTGATATTGCAATGTTAATATTTAGGCAGAACTGCCCTGGTAAATAAACAGCGCGCCAACTATGTTAATGCTTTGTTCAATAATGACGTTAGTGGCTATAAGCCAGGCGGCAACCTCTGTGTCTGAAAAGAAAAGCCAATGTAGAAATGTCATAAACTTGCAATAATTGTAATGACCAGGGGGGGTGAGTCGACTGTTTGCAAAAAGAAGTCTTGTTGTTAGAAGTCTATGAGAAAATGACCTTACTTTTCACTTTATTCCTTACCTGAGTACACATTTTATTGATGAGTTAATTATATCAATTGCTAGTTTCAAGTTTTGTTCAATAGACATGATGTACATTTTGTAAATAATAATAATTCACACTTAGAGGAAAATACAGGATGAAGCAGCGTTTGCATTTAGTGCGGGGCTGCCCTGTGATTGACAGGTCTGAGTTTTCCGTGTTTTCGTCTTGCAACTTTAACCATTTAGCAATGTGTTTATTACAGTTTGTGATAGTCACCTGCAACTAAAAATGTCCTGGCATGTTCGGTTGCATTAAAAAAACAATATGGCAAACACCAAAACACTGAATGCTTTAAAACTGCCAATGGTTGATGTCACAGTTACTACGTGTGCTTTTATATAAAGCCTATGCTCTTATCAATGCAATTATTGCTGCAGAGAACTGAATGGTGTTTTCAGTATACCCATGATGCACCTATCACACAGCACACCTGGTAAATCATGCCATGTTAGGGCCAAGGCTCAAACTGAATGTAAAAAGTTGGAGTTTAAACGTTTGAGAAACGACCTCGATGCTGAGATGGAAGCAGAGCGCTACGTTGAAATGTCACTCCTTTGTGAGCTGGTGAACTTGCTTGAATGAAAAGTCAATAACAATTCTGTTTGCTGCTGCCAAAGTAAACTGACAAGTCTGTGGGAAACACTGGAAATGTTTTAAGCCTTATGGGAAAATATCCCCAGTCCTCTGGTGACTGTAGGTAATAAGACTGTCAGGCACATACAGGGGACGGAGTAGCTTCTTCAGATTTTCAAACATTTCTAGACTTCAGGATTCAGAGCACTGAGCAGAATATGTAGTTAAAAATGACTCAGTGATAGTCAGACTGTCAGGAGATTAGTAGATAGAGAGGCAAGCAGACGAGCAACCTAAACAATGTCTTTTGTGTAAGAGTGTGAACATTATGTCTACTCCAAGGGGTCATGTTACACAAACTTAATAACAATATTGAGATAAATAATTGTTATATACGTTTATTACGTTCCTGTTTTGGGGTTTTCTAAGTCAAATCTAAGCCGAACTAAAGTTCAGCTATAATTCTAAATGCCTTTGAAATTAGTTTACATTGCCGAAACTTTGAAAATATATAAAATGTGTTAAAAGATTCATTAAACTCTCAGCAAACTAGGGACATTTTTAAGGTTGTCAACATTAATCCATTAACGCACATGATTCATCTGGAAACCTTTTCATGTCTGACATTTTTTTTACGCAAATGATAAAATAAGGATTTTTTTTCCCGAATTCCTCACGTTATTCCAGCGCACATTTTTACCATGGGTTGCATTGAAGAGAAAAGGCAAAGGAGGTGACTCGAGACCTCTAGGCATCAGTAAGAACCATCTCTACCTCGGTGTTACGGCACACAATGACAAATGTTCTGCACTCGTTGTTTAGGTTTGGTGAGGACGAAGGAAATATATTTTACTAAAGCATGCAGAAGCCAATTTCTAGGAGTTTCACAGGAATCTGAGATAGTGGACAGGGTCATCACTGCAGGGACACATAGTGCTCGCAGCAAGAATACTGCCATATGAGTATATGCCCTGTGTAGCACACATTATACAGAGGGTGATCACAGTGGCTCTCTGTGACAGCGACTCTCAATGCTTTGGCTAAAGGTTTGTCAATTCAGAATTGCTATCAGAACCAGTGGCTGGTGTATGTTTGTGTATGTGTGTGCATGCACGCATGTGTGTCCTCACCTGCATATAGGCAGCCCACAGGGCCATGCAGTTGGTGGGCAGCCCCAGAACGATGACGATGATGTAGAGCGTGGGCTGGAAGAACTGGTCCACCTTACTGTCCACATTACAGAATGAGATGTTGCACATTGTCCTGTGTGTGTGTGTGTGTGTGTGTGTGTGTGTGTGTGTGTGTGTGTTTGCGTGAAGCAACTCTCAGCTCTGAGTGTCCCTCTGTAGTTTAACTATGTTCCAGCTCCAACAGTTTGACAGTGACATGCCAACACTAGGCTCATGCTTGGCTACCACACGGCTGTCCCACATGAGGAAAAAATAACTATCATTTACGAGGCATTTCATTGTTCCTGTTTCTTAAAGCAATGTCCTCCTCGCCCAGTGGCCTTGATGTGCCATACTCCTTTCTCACCCTTCAAAGCCAGCCCTCGCATTGCCCAGCATGGAGGAAGAGAGGATAATAAAGGAATGGCCGAGGGATAAAAATGTGGTGAAATTAAAGCTGCCTTATCAACGCTGTGCCAGGGCTCTGCCTGGACAGGACCTCATCAATCTTTCAGAGGTTAGAGGTCTGCCAGGTCTACTGTAAAAAGGAGGGGCTGAGCATCAGTGTGTGTGTGTTTGTGTGTGCCTGTGGGTGTGTCTCAAGGTCCTGATGACACACAAGACACCTCTGGGATGCTCGCACTTAAACACAGGAATAACTTTGTAGAGATTCACCACCCTGGAGTTTGCTCTGCACTGCTGAACATCTGCAAGAGAGGAAGAAAGAGAGATGAAGAGAGCATTAAAATGGGATGCTTTATAATCAAAACGTCCGACAATACAACAATAAATCATTTGTTTTGAGTTTGTTTCATTGAAAAAAATGGGCCCATTGTTTTATGTTCATGAACTACCTGAGAATGCAAAAAATACAACTGTGTTCAAATAAGATAAAAATGAATGATTGAAACCAAAACAGGACATTCTCTCTCCCAACTCATCGATTATGGCAGCTTGGGCATTGGCCCCAACCATCACATTTTGGCGCTCCACGTATCTCTTTGCGTGAAGAAACAAACTCAGGGCTTCCACCTAAGAGGCCAACGTTTGTGTCCCATGTTAAATCAAAATTCAACGTTGAAAATTCCAAACAATGTTTTTTTCCAGGTAAAATCCAACGCATTAAACTACAACTTGAAGGTCTTGTGCATCATTTTGGAACCAGCTTGAGTTTGAAATTGAGGAAATTCAAATGAATGATGCATATTGTTCAGTAATTGACAAGTCCTCAAGTGCCCATACCAGCCTGAAATGCAGAAACAGAAATCTGTCAAGACTGCAGTTTGTCTTTTCCTACGTGCCTAGGCCGATGCCAAAAACTTCTGACACCTCAACCATTATACTTAGCGTTTCATGCTCATTTCCTGTATTTATTTCCTGTGCTCTATAGATCACATATACCTTGAATGTACCCAAGCGTTTTGAAACAAGTCTCCGACGTGCTGTTTCAGCCATTTGGCTTGGTTATTTGAAGTTGTTACGTGCCGCAGTTGGTGCTTGTGTGTGTGTCTCTCTCTCTCCCTGATTGTCTCCAGGTGCAGCCTCTCCCCCAGGTGCTCCCAATCCCCAATCAGGGCCTCCTTAAAGGACCTGAGGAAGGCTGCAGTGGCCTCTCTCCTTCTCCTCTGGCTGCAGCACGGTGTCTTCGTCTCTGTGTGGGACCTGTGTTTTATCAATTACTAGGATATGTGTTCCAGCATATATTGGTACCATAGTTTACTTTGCAAGTTGGCTGGTAAGCCCGTTTTCTGTTTGTCTATCATTGGTTGATTAAACCTCATTTTGTGGCTTCAGAGATCAGTTTCCTCTCTTTTCTCGTGCCTGGTCGTTTCTGTCTTTTGTTACTCCCCTTCGTACCCCTAGATTTGGAGGGAACGTAACAAATGGGGGCTCGTCCGATCTTTGAGACAAAGAGTGAGTATTTGATTGTTTGTTGATATTGTGTTTGGTGGTGAGCAGTAGTGTGTGTGTGTGTGTGTGTGTATATAAGTGTAGCATTGGCTGTGAAGTCTCTTACTGTTTAACAGCTTCCTCAGTTTAGACAGGGGAGTGTCTAGCTGGGCTCAATCAGTCTTTCCTTCAGGCACTCATTTATTATTTTGCCTTTTTTATTTTCGGGGTAATCCTGGGTGGGGATTTAGTCCCTGTTGGGGGCAGGCGTTTCAGGGTTTCGGCCGCTGATGTTTGCCTTTAAAGTCGCCTCGAGCCCGGCACGCTCCAGAAGATAGGTAGGTAAGTTGTGGTAGGCAGGATCTGGGGAAGCTTGTTATTTGGAAGAGTCGATGTTTGTGTAGCCTCAGATATTTTGCCTGTTGAGTGAGGTGATTTAAGTGAGTGTTGAAAATTAGTTTGTGTGTTTTAGTATGGCCTCCCTTGTGTTGGGTGAGTCCTCTCATACTGGTTCTAAATTAGATGCCAGGTTGAAAGTGAGGTTAGCTCGTCTCCAGTGGGAGAAGGAGCGTGAGCGAGATTTTCAGCTCAGGAGGGAGCTGGAGATCAGAAAGTTAGATGCAGACACAGCTTTCAGGATGCGTCAGCTAGAGCTGCAGACAGGTTCTACTACTGCTTTTGATGTTGGTAGCAACATTCAGCTGGTCCCTGTCTTTCGTGAGTCAGAAGTGGAGACCTTCTTTGGTGCATTTGAGCGCATTGCTGCTGCTCTGCGCTGGCCAGAAGATGTGTGGGCCATACTTGTACAGTGCAAGCTAGTCGGCAAGGCTCAGGAGGCTTGCTCTTCTCTTTCTGTCGAGGATTGTATGGTGTATGACAATGTGAAAGGTGCTGTTCTCAGGGCATATGAGCTTGTGCCTGAGGCCTACAGGCAGCGTTTCCGCAGCCTGAAGAAAACTTCTGGCCAGACTTATGTGGACTTCGCGAGGGAGCAGAAAATCCTCTTTGACAGGTGGTGTAGAGCTTGTAAAGTGGATGACATTACTTTAATGTGTGAACTAATGATGCTGGAGGAATTTAAAAACTGTACCAGAGCGTACTGTAGTTCATTTAAATGAGCAAAAAGTATCTACCCTTCAGCAGGCTGCCACTCTAGCAGATGAGTTTGCACTTACACATAAAAGCGTTTTTTCTCAGCGTGATCCCCCTCATCAAGAGCGTGATCCCCCTCAGCGAGATTCTTACCATAGAGCTCGTGACACATACGTCCCCCGTGCCAGTTTTCCAGTATCAGGTCCCAAGCTAGAAAAGCCTTGTTTTTTTTGTCATAACCCTGGTCATTTGATAGCAGACTGTGCAGCTTTGAAGCGAAAGCAGGCTGCCACTATGGCGGATGTGGAAGGGATTGTGCTATCACACAGTGGTGTTTTGGCTCATAGCAATTCTCCTCATCGTGTTGGTTTCCGGAAAGCTCGTAACAGGCGTGCCACACATGCTCATTCTGTTTCTCTTCCAGGACCCAAGGAAAAGAGATTGTGTTTCTTTTGTCTTGACCCTGGTCATCTAGTGGCAGAGTGTGTAGCTCGGAAGAAGCAGGTGGCAGCTTCCAAGCGGTCTGTGGAAAAGCCAAAAGACCGGCACCCAGTTGAGATGCGACAGAGTGGTGAGTTGCAGTTAAGTTCTGCGTCCGTCTGTGACAGTGCTGTGGGTGTGGGTGTTCCCGTCTCTGAAGCGGTGGGTGTGGACCTGGCTCAGAGCAATGGGGATCTGTGTTCAGTGAGTGATGTGTGTATTCCATGTGATGTGTGTGTTCCATGTGTTGCTCCGGTGTTGGCTGCTTGTGGGCAGTATAACGTGCGTTTTATGGGGGGGGGGGGTGTTAAGGCCCTGCGTATTGGCCGTGTGTCGCAATGGAAATCACCGCAAAGACTTCAGCCGAGCACGTACGAACTGCGCATGTGTGAGTGGCAATAACTCTCCTTACCAGCAGGCGGCGGTAGTGTGTATTCGTCATTCAAAATAGGCAACAACCGGAAGACGGAGAAGAAGAACAGACTGATATAAACAAACAAATAGCATGTGCGTTCCATTTTCACTCTCCATCGAAAACATGTTTTAGAATATAAAAATACATGAATGATGAAATGAGCACATAAAGTGCAGACATACTATAAAATCACAGTTAATAGACCTGCATCTGATGATCGCAGTGTTCTGGCGGGTGTGTAGTTTATTGAGTCAGCAATGTAATAATGGCCACTTCTTGCTAAATTTACGATGAGATCAAAAACCGGACTTGACCAAACAAATCACGGAGCTCTCGGCAGAGGACAGCCGGGGACGCTCCCGCCGATATCAGAGATGTCCCTGCTATGTGTGGAAGGTAAGAGAGGACATTTAAGGGCTATGTTTGATGTCTTTAAGTATCACCTGCTGGTGTTTAGCTGCTGTCCTGTGCCTTAAATCGTTTGTTTACGTCCCTCACTTCCGTTTCGCTTCTCATTTGCTAGCTGAACAGCTGATCAGAGTGGTTTCTTGGCCCGATAGCTTGTGTCCGACACCCGGCCGATTCAACATGTTGAATCGGCCGGGTGTCGACCGTGAAAGGCCAAATAAGGCGTGTCACGGCCGAGGGTTCGGGACACACCAAATTGACTTTGAGCGACAAGGAACCCGTTTTCGCCCAACAACGCAAGACGGCCGATATCGGCCTGGTGTGTAGGGGCCTTTATGTGCCGCAGTTGGTGCTTTTGTGTGTCTCTCTCTTCCTGATTGTCTCCAGGTGCAGCCTCTCCCCCAGGTGCTCCCAATCCCCAATCAGGGCCTCCTTAAAGGACCTGAGGAAGGCTGCAGTGGCCTCTCTCCTTCTCCTCTGGCTGCATGGGTGCAGCACGGCGTCTTCGTCTCTGTGTGGGACCTGTGTTTTATCAATTACTAGGATATGTGTTCCAGCATATATTGGTACCATAGTTTACTTTGCAAGTTGGCTGGTAAGCCCGTTTTCTGTTTGTCTATCATTGGTTGATTAAACCTCATTTTGTGGCTTCAGAGATCAGTTTCCTCTCTCTTTTCTCGTGCCTGGTCGTTTCTGTGTTTTGTTACTCCCCTTCGTACCCCTAGATTTGGAGGGAACGTAACAGAAGCGTATGGAATCTCTTGCAGTGATAACAAACCACTGAAAACTAGAATGTACACACCCTCAACATATACAGTCAAACCCTTTTGATACATTTTATTTGTGCCGTGATGAGAAGGAAAAAAAAGACTCGGTAAGTCTTTATGCAGCAGGTACAGTGAAACAGGATAATTTGTATCGATGGGACATTTAGATTTTCCAACATCTAGTATGATAACACAGAACCTGCTGACATGCCGTACTGGCAGTAAAATACCTTGCATAGAGTGCAGACAAAGAGCCCAGGACATATGATAAGCTTTATGTAAGCCTTTATCTAAACATGACCTCAATAAGGCATGTAGAGAGGGAAGGACCCAGTTTCTGTTTCACTACACAACTTCTCACATGTTTTTATTTATATTGTAGGACCTTCTTAATATGCTTCATATGCTTTCAATCACTTTACTTTAGCATGTTCTTGAGCACTGTTTACTGCCTTCATTCAAAGTTTCTGTATGTTTCAGCTTCTTCTCATTCCTCTTAGGTCAACAGACATCAAAAGTAACTGAACTGTGAAGATTTGTTTTTGCCTGAAGAGCCTCAGCATCTTGTGACTTTAACACTTGAACCGGCAACGGGTACATTTTACCCGCAGCTGTTTCTTGATTGTATGTAACTTTTTTTCCAAAAAATATTCAA